CTTGCTTCCACCGTACATCGACGTTGCGCTTGCCATGTTCAGATCGGCCAGATCGCTTGCAGTTGAAGCAGTTGAAGGTTGAAGCAAAAACGAAACCAACTGCAATGTCACGTGTTCACATCGAAGACACGCTTTTTATATCCATTTTAACTGTTTTGAACGAATAATTGGACCCATGACTTTATTTGTGGTGTGTAAAAAACTATTATCAAGAGCCCTAAACTAAATGCAAACATGGGCGACATGAGGGAAGCCGCATTGCCATCGACCAGAAAATGGCGGCGAGCCACGGTAAGCGCGGGTTTCGCCAACGTCCCGCGACATGGCGTAATTGCTTTTGGTGCATATCTGTTTCCGAGACATGTTTCTTTCCGCGGCATTTGTCTCGACGGTCCTTTCTAAGTGTGTCCCCAAGCATTCCGGTGCTTCGATAGCCGGCAATGCCGCGGTCGTCGCCGGAGGCGATGCGTGTTATCGAGGTCGGCTACACGGTTATGCGTGTATGACCGAACCAAAACACGTTTTTTACAACCTCGCATGATATCTGAACGTATTATCCGTTACTCATCGTGTAAATTTATGGTAATTTGTGTAAATAGCGTGTTTTTCACCCCAAATATTCACCAAATACACGGCACTTGCTAACAGTGTACTACTCTAATTACCCCAGGCTTTCATACTTTGGTCATTTGTTCGACGAGAATGTTACGTCCGGCATCACTGTGAACTCGGCTCAGCGCCTATTGGACTCGAATGCTGCATTAGCATTTGACGTGAACTGGGGCCCATTTGTGTGATTTACGCCGAAAAAAAATGGTAACAGTTGTGTTGCTTGATGGGGTTCTGCAAAGGGTCTACGTATAGGAAGTCTCCTGCTATATAACAATGCATCAACAGATACGATTAAAGTATATGCTCAGAGGTGTGTTCAGGAAAAGTTGAGTGAGTCCAGCCCACTGCAACAAGTCTGGTATCTCCCATTAATTAATATTGAGGGGTCAGAGATGCGACTGTCCTCAAAAGGACCTGCACGTGTGGTGAACACAAGTCTTGGTGTATAAACTCTCAAGGCGTAAACGCAGCGGAAATAGGTTTATCTGGTTAGTGTATCAAATATGTTTATTTCCGCTGGATTACATAATTATTGATTCTTAGTTAATGGTTCCAGAACGAGTTCCTTCTGCGACAGTCTCCTGCCAGACGTTCAGTCGTAATACCTGTGGACCTTGTGGGATGACGCTCCTGGCACGTCGGTGTTCAGTTTGGTCTAGTAGCAACTTTAACCGACTGATGCCGTCTTGTAAATATACGTCATGTGCGCCCACTGACATTTGATGCACTGAAGCTGCAGGGCTGGCTTCTAATCCGCAAAATTTTCCTGGTAGTTTTCTGCATCAATGCAGCAAGCTCGGGCATGTATTGGTTATGTGGCTGTGCCTTTTGCTGTACCGTTGACTTGATAGCTGGCAACAATGTATGTTTGCTATCCAGGCCATTTCACTTCCATTTCGAAGTGGAGATTTATTGTGCATCCCACTACCACTGCAACTTGTGCAAGTCTTGTGTGGCAAAGTGAAGTCTCTTGATGCTTGCAGTCCACTTTTGAGAGCAACCAACCATTCTATTTCTTAAGGTCACTGAGCGGCATTCTCCCTCAAAGTTGGAAATTGTGTGCTTCGTGGCGTGGACACAGATAATTAGTGTCAGCAAATTATTAGGTATTGTCCTTGGACGACAACCGACATCAGATCAACTCTCTTTGCATTGCCGCTCACCTGCTTTGTCGTGCTTACCTCCCGTCCAGATGAAGTAGATTACGAGCTTCGGGGTAATGTCAGCACCAGGGACAAAGACCGCCGAAGATAATCCTCAATCTTCCCCGGACGCTCGTCGAGACCTGGTCGAGGATCGTTCGGCACGAACCCTTGCAGGCCAATTCATTGGTACGGGCACCTCCAGTAGACATGGTCGGCCTCATGCAGTGGTAGCAAAGTGGTTTTCGGTCGGCCATTCGCAGTATCACCGTTTTCCTCGGTGTACTTTGTTCAGCGCGGACCTACACTGGTTCTTCTCAATGTCAGGAATGCTTCAGCGTTGGGGTGTTTCGTTGAATTGGCATTGAATAGTAACAGGTAGCCGGTGGTGGTTGTTGTGACTCTGTGGCATAAGTCGCCCTCGTTTTGTCAGATGCCGCTTCGCTCGAAGAAATCTCCAGTCGAAATTCCTGTCGAACTTCTGAAAAAATCTCGGCGATCAAAATTAAAGCCGGGCTACTGATGGCAGGAACTAGCTTCCTTATCACCTCCCGGACACCGTTGTGAATGATGTCACGGATGCCTGGGGGGCTGGCGTCGAACTTGCAGCTGGACGACTCGAGTGTCGCGACGCTGGGGAGTTTTTAATAGTGACATGCTTGGGCCTGCAGTGTACATTCAATGTTGGAAGCTTCATTGATATGAACCCTTCGACTGTTGTCGTGGGGTTGCAGACAAGGCTGCTGAAGGTGTTGTCCTTCACATGAGGAACATGGGATTCTTAGCTTGTCTTCTGTAGCATCAGGGTTGGCGTGGGTGCTCGATCAGAAGCAAAACATCCTCCACGAAGGTGGTGATGCTCTCGTTGGGGCCGTGTCCTGGACAGAATCAGGAATTCGGCTCTCTCTTGTCAATGTTGGCTGATGAACATGCCCTTCAGCTTGATCTTGCAAACTTCCCGCGACGTTAAGGAGGATTCGTGGTTATCAAACCAGTGCCTCACAGTTTCTTCCACGAGAAGTATAGGTTCTGCAGGAGCTGGTTGTCCATCTAACCACTGTGGCGGGCGACACGGTCATATTGTTCAATTCAGCCCTCGACGTCTTGTGCACCCTGCGTGAAAGGGCATCGGAGTGCGAGATGCGACGGGCATGCAAACGATGGTGGGAGCGGACGTGGTTTGCTGCTACCGGGTTGTCATTGTTGGTTATTCAGCTTCGGTTTTTCTGGCAAAAGACCTCATTCCGGTGGTTCTTGCTGGTAGCAGCGACTGGCTTGGATTTCAAGTTCTTCGTGGTGTATTTCCGAGTTTCGCCCTTGTGGTACTCGCTCGTCTTGCAATTTTGCTGCCGGCCTCGGGATAGGACTTGGTTCACGGCTCACCGGGGGTTTAAGACTCAAGATAATGTGCCACCCGTGTCTTGTTATCGGGCAACTCGGCTGAGGAGCCGCCAGGGTAGACACAGAGGGAAGGGCTATGGGTAAAGTGCGCAACACCTCCACCAGAACATACAATGACAGCTGAGCATGGCCCTGGAACTTTCCAGAATAGTAAATATTGATAGAAAATAGGACTGGAGCAAGCATCGGAGACAATATAACAAAACAGACAGAAAAGAGTCTATCCTGACCACTAAAGAAGCTGCACTGCTTTAGTGGCATTCTGTCCGGATAAATCTCCTTCGGGGTCTGGCGACTGCCGTGGACGAGCTGAACTGAAATCGATGCGAGACCACTTTTCTGGTGATGAGCCGCTACAGACTGCCGTCGCAAAACGGCGTGAATGGGTGGACTGGGTAGGTAACGCGCGATGAAATGTCCATACAGCTTGCAATTCGCGTAACGAGTGTTGAAACTTTGGTGTCGACGAAAGGTGCGACAGACCAGCGAAATTAATACCAACAGCAACACCTGTGCTCCGTGAAGGTGCACGTCTACGCCAGAACAATTTAGTAGGCAGCACAGCATCACCTAAAGCACGACACAGGAACTACCAGCTTGGAGACAGCTCTTCGGCGCGCCGCACACCTGTGCTCCGTGAAAGTGCACGACTACGTCGGAACCGTTTGGAAAGCAGCACAGTATCATTTAGCACGGCACGGGAACTACAAGCGGCAAGGCAGCTCTCCGGTGCACCGCACAACCAAAGGGAGCCTTCGGGCATTTGAACAAAGCGACACCACGATTGCACACTGCCAAGCACGACTCACGCAATTTCCGTCGCTAAACTGTGTATCCAAATATATTGCACACGCTTCACTGCAGATCTCGAATGTTCCGACGGTCAACGAGAGCACAGAAACGTCGCCTTGAATTTTATCCTAGCGGTATCCGAATCAATCCAAGGTGCGAGCAACGTAGGGCAGATTGTCTCTTCCGTGGCAATATCGCCGTCGGTCACTAGCGAAATGCACACCGTTCCTCCGTATTTTCACCTTGTACCTACGTCAGACACCACGCTGAACTCTGAAGTCGCTGTCGACCGGCCTCATATGACGGCTTCTGCATCTGAAATCAACTCGCCGAGACGAACGACAACCAACAAAGCAACCGACAAGCTCCGGCCCAGCTGGGGCCAGCCGCTGCATGGGCGCTGCCATCTTTCCTGTGACGTCACGCATTTGGTTCGGTCATGTGACGAGTGGTCAAATTTGCGTACAATGGCAGCCGCCTTATGGGGGTCACTTTCGAGTGCAGACCGGAACCCCGGTTTATCGCTCTAAGCCCCTCTACCTCGTTGTTCTCACCCCCGAATTCATAGATGTGACTTGAACTGAAGCCAAACTTCGACTTGCTCAAGTCCGCCTTAACACCAAGTTCGACTTGAAAACGCCCAAGCTGCGTTTTACGTTTCACAGACGTTCCCGCGAACTTCCTTCGTCAAATCCCGTTCAAGTCGCGAGCGGTCGCGGCCCTCCTCGCCTGGGAGCGAGAGTAGGCTGCAGTTTTTCTCGTAAAAGTTCTTTCAGACTTTAAAATAAGGTACTTCTCTAAATTTTCTTTATAGCATATGTTTACGAAACATAAATCGCGAGAGATTGTAATGGGAAGTTTAATTATTTTAGCGATTGTACGCGTTTTCTGGACATAATGATGATTTCGTCTAGCAACATACCAAATAGCCGCCAAGCACGCTCTTCGCTGCTCTTCGCTCGTCCGGACGCTCCAGCCTTCCCTTCTGTGCAAGTTTTCTTCTGTTAAACGGTAAAACTTTTGAGATTCCCCCAACCCTTGAGCAGCAGTGGAATGGCCACTAAAAAAAAACAATCGCCGCGCTTCACCGCTGATGAAATATCTATTCTATCGGGGCTTGTCGGCAAGCATAAAACGATCATTGAATGCAAAAAGACAGACTCCGTATCTTCGAACCTCAAAAACGAGACCTGGGAGAAACTCTGCAATGAGTATAACTGCTTACCGGGCGTTAGTCGACGGGACTCTAATCAGCTCAAGAAGTGTTGGGGGAACCTCAAACAAAAGTGGAAGAACGAGCGCTCGGACGAGAAGCGCAAGACACACAAGACAGGTGAGTGTTCTGTCCCTGCTCGTCCATGTTACTCGGAGTGATCGATCTAACCTAGCATTTGCGATTGGCGAAAGATAATATTGGGAAACCTTTTCGCGCTTCCTTTTTGTCAGCGTGTGTCATTCCGCATTTTCTTCAGTTCAGTATATAGAAAGATCGTGATATGCGCAATGTTCCGAGTGCCGTGGATTATCCCGCTCCCGTTTAGATCCACTTTAGCTCTGTTGTACTGAGGCACACAGCAGATGTCGACATATCTTCCGTAGGGGAAATAGTTGTTTTTCATGCGAAATGGCATAATATGGCATTGTTGCAGTTTACTCTTACGGCGTTATTGCCTTATTGATCAACCTACCTTTCTATTTTTTACCCGTGTCACAAAATATCGTGCTAAAACATCCCAGCTGTTGTAGATTACGGGAATTCAACTACCAGAAGAAGAAAGAGACGACAGGAAAACACGAGACCACGAACGGCAGGATCGGGGCACGAGAGAATAAAACGGCCACCAACGAAACGGACGCGCTCGGGTTCTTTCCTCAACACCAGCCTCGTCTATGTACAGGAGTGTTTCTTTAGAATATTCAGTATGTGCCTATATCTCGACTGCTTTAATCAAGTGACTTGACATACACGATTGTTCCTTAGGAGGGGGCTGCCCCCCACACCCATGAGCGCAATTTCTGTGCTTGTGGGGGCAGTAGCGGGGCACATGGCCACCCGCCTTGACAACGATAACGACTCCGACGGAGCCGCCTATCTGCCCCCTGTCCAGAACGAGCCAGTGGTGCGGCTGCTGGAGGGCCTGGTCGACTGCGACCCAGTGTACGAGTATGCAGGTACAGTGTTGAGACACATCGATCTGCACTTTAGGCCACTTGTATGTTGCGTGTGATGGAAAAATATAAATAAAGGGACTCAGAATTCCAGAACGGTGAAGATAAGACGGAAGATATTTACAGTCGTAAGAAAAAAAAGTAAGAAATAAAGCGGTGTAGATATATAAGCAAAGTTCAGTTCGGCAAATCCGCTTACGGCACGGTGTTGCACGTCGGCATTGGCATGGAGTTGGCAGGCTCGCTTAGCACAAGCGGATGTTTCCCAGCAAGCTTGGTTAACAGCCCCACGGGCCTGGATTTGTCTGTCCGGGCTCTTCCTTGGCTGCCAGGACCACTGCTGTCGAGCCGGGTTCCGTGTCGTGCCCGCCCTTTTTTCACGTATCACAAGCCTGTGTCATCTTCCTCTCATCACGTCTTCCTTTTTCATTATATCCATCTCTTGCTTTGGCCTTGCTGCCTTCGTCTTCTAGTTACTCACACCTTCACCACGTTCACTGCGTCTTCTTTCTCGTTTTTTGCTCAGTCCAACTCACAGTTTTTATGTATGTCGTTCTTATCATCCTTGGTTCCCCCCCGTCACAGTGTGCACCTCACAAGGGATTGGTAACACAGAATCCATCCTATAGCTTTGTGGTAATGTTGCACAAATTAACCGGCCACAATGGCGCCCAAGCGTGGTATGCTACTCACTCGCAGAAATTTCACGAGGCTTGGTTTCTTCTTTTGGTAAGCCCTTTTCCACTCCCCGTGTTTCCTACCGCCCCGTGCTTCGGTCACGTCCGCGTTTGTTGTATTGGTTTGTTTTTGACCGTTCGTTTTGTGACTGCGGCAATAGTTTCGCACGCTTGTGTTGGTTTCTGGGCGGCGTTTCTTTTTCTGTGCTTGCAGCCATGCTCACACGGGAGCAGGAAGCTGCAGTGGCCGCAGCGGCACAAATGAACCTGCTCAAAAAATCGCGGTGATATGCAACTTCGTGATGCAGCGCATGGCCCTCACGCCTGGCCAGCAGGAGACCCCGCCGCAAGAGCCCCGACCACACTTGACTGTACCAGTCTACGTGGGGTACGACGACGTTAAGTCCGTGGCAGACTTCCTGGGGGAGTCGCAGACGTACCACCTTGCCTACGGTGCCTCGTAAGCCTTCATCATGGACCGGATTGTCCCGCTGGTGTTGCAAGCCAGTGCTAGAAGCTGGTTGGGGTTGCAGGCCCCGTTCACGAGCCAGACAAGGCTTCGGGAAGAGTTCCTGCCTGTGGACTACGCAACGCAGATTCTCCGAGAGCTCGAGGCAAGGCCGCAGCACTTGGACGAAAGTCAGGACCGGTACGTTCAGGTCATGCAAGAGCTCTTCAAGAGGGCGGACCCGAATACACCGGAGTCGGACAGAGTAGCTCGGGTCAGAACCCTACTGAAAAAAAAACATTTGAAATTCAAACGGGTGGCAAACTGGTCGCCCGTTTGAATCAAACTTGTCGATCCGTTTGGATCAAACGTGATTATGGGATACGGGTACCCGTTTGGAAACGGTACCCGTTCGAAACGGTACCCGTTTGATACAGGTGCCCGTTTGATACGGGTGCCGTATGGTACGAGTACCCGTTCGACATGGCACGTGACCACACGTTTGAACGTGCCATTCGAATTGGCAAATTATGCGCTAGCCCTAAATGGGTATCGCTTGGGAGGTTGGTTATCTTAAACATATTTACGACGTCCCGAAACTCATAAACGTATTTATAACATGGAGAAAACACGAAGAACAAATGCACTCGGGTAGGTGCTTGTAAGTGGACAGGAAAACCGACAGAAAAGATTGTTTTCAATTCTCCTCGAAGTTTATTACCTCTTCTGTAGACAAGTACAAACGTGCAAGCGATCTGTGAATACTATACAGGTAGACTTTCGGGGAAATTATTCTCCTGGCTGCCGCGCGAATAGGCGCTGCATAGTTCTATAGATAATCTAGAAGAGTACGCGTAGAAGAACGGTCAATCGTTGCCAACACGTAGGTTGCAGTGCACTTACCATAACAATAGCGGACTTGAAAGATGTAATCCGTGATATTTGTCGACACGGTCAAAGCAGGACAACCACACAAACACAAACGAGAGGGAACGGCTCCTTGGAAGTTTCAACACGATGCGGCGCACAAGCTGTCACTTGCCGAACCCAACCAAACCGCGAGAATTTGCGACTTCTTTGAAGAATCGCTCGTTGCCGACATACACGTGGGTCTTTTCGAACACTGATAGCTTTGGTGCACATCCAATACGTTGTCGAGAGACATCCCAATAAGACCGCAGGGTTAGGCGACAGATTGAAGCAGGTAGGACGAGCGAACTTCGAGCAGCAACTGACAACAAGCAGACAAAGAAAAAAGCGGCTGCAGGGCGCGCCGGCGCGCCCTTCCGGATCTCGATAGGCCTGTTCGGCTGAAGTTTCGCCGCGCATACGCAGCGCCACATCCTCCCCTGGGGAGGGGTGGCCGTTTTATTTAGAAGTAGCGAAGCAGACGGTCCTGGAGGCGTGCATGTTTTGTACGCTTCACGCGATGGAGAATATAGCGTCGAAGAGTAGAAGAAACAGCAGGTATTGTTGCGTGGTGAACTGCCACAACAGCGAGGCCAACACCAAGGGAAAAGTTCCTCTTGTGAAGTTTTATTCGTTTCCCGGGAAGTGGTACGAGACAGATCGCCGAGATGCTTGGGTTAGGGCTGTGCGGAGGACGGGGTGAGTGATTGTTTTCTGCCTCTACGCGTGATTAAATAGCTTAAATACACTAAATTGCCTCGTTTTCTTTTTCTTTAATAGCTCTGATGGCTCTCCTTGGGTGCCAACAAAGTCTACGCGAATTTGCAGCCAACATTTCGTCAACAACACGAAAAGCGAGATTGAGGCCAACCCAGCCTACCTGCCAACTTTGTTCCCCGATACATACAAAAAGAGGCGTGTAAGCGGCGGAAGGCACGAAAGGTAAGATGAAGCATATAATTGTAGTCCGAATTTCGCTCTGACTTGCACGCATTCTTTTCTGATTGTTTACTACAGGTGGGCGAATCGGAGTCGCTCCGCTGCCTGTAACTTGACCCCACCGCCTCCGCTCGAACCGTCTTCGCCGGAGGCGTCGGAGCTGCTGGAAAGCGAGGGCTCACCGGACTCGGACTTGGAGCAAGACTTGCAGCTTTTGGCAGACGTGGCATGGGATGTGCAGCCGCTTCCGTTGACTGCCGAAATGGTAAGCTGCTTTACAAAGTTACAACCGCACGGGTTCTGATATATGCCCAAACAGTTTATCCGTTTTTTTGTTTTCTTTGTATTTCGCAGGAAACACAGACAGACGCTGCAAACAGCAAGGGACCTTTGCAGCTCATGCTCTCTGCCACTGACGGAGCTCTTGGATCGACACAGGTGACTCACATCCCCCAAGCAGACAAGGTAGTTTTTTTGTGTATCCTTAAGGCACGCCACAGACGTTTGGTCATTAAATTCATTAAACAGAATTCTTAAAGATGAAACATTTGACAGATGATGTTAATTGAGTTTCGAACGGCTAAGGACTAGTAAATTATTGTGGAGAACAGAAAATGGTTGCCATGCCCCTCAACATCATTCGAGGAGAGTAAAGAACTGATGTATGCCAAAAGCAATTGGACCGTTTCCGAGAAGCGTTCTGCACACGCGCGAGCGTCCGACGCCAAACGGCGGAAGTTGGCACGAGTAATCGAGAAATTTGAAAGGAGGCCGTGGATCAGCGAGTAGAGCGCATAACTGGAGCTAATATATCTAATTGTGTTAAATAATTGAAGAAAGTGGACGGAAAGAAAAACACAACGTTTGGGTGGACGCCACGGATGCCCCTCTTTAAAGGCGCGTTGGTCGCGCGACCAGTCAACAACTCCATAGGGAAAAAGTACCTAGAATGGCAGCTCTAGCTCTAATTACCGTAGTTGTCAGCTGTGCAACCTGTGCTTCACCAAAGTCACCAGCTTGTCACGTTTTCAGCGTCTCTTCCTATAGGGTACGGTCAGTCCTCCCTCCCGAAGTTCTGCCCATGGTCGCCCAACTTTTGAAAATCCGCCAGATTGAGCGAAAGTTTCGTATGTGATTGGCCATCCCTCAATGGGGCGGGGCGCCGGCGTCTCTTATCGGCGCTGGGGACGTAGAACACCGTCGTTTGGCTCCGGCGGCACGATTTCGGTCCGAAAACCCTCTCCTCGGGCGGGAACGCCGCCCAGTTCTATCACCGGGACGGGGTAAAGAACGGCTGTGTGAATGAGGTTTTAAGGTCTTGTGGGGAAGGAACAATAAGCGTGTACTCCGAAGAAATGAGCCGAGACAAGGAGGAGCGACTGGTTCGTGCGTTCTACTGGCGTGCATCTGTCTCCAGGCGCGCGAATGTTGCGCGCCCGAGAACATCCTCTTTTATGCCGAGTGCTCAGCGCATGTCACGCTCTGCATCTGTGGCCACTACAGCCTTTGAACTCCACGGGACGAATATGCTGCGAATAAACGACGAATTTCGCCTGGCGGCTTTTCCTCTGCGCGTGGAATCAACACAGTGGCTGCTACGTCGCGCACAAAACGAGCGTGCCGTCGAGCGGCGTTCGCCAGTTATTCGTTGCATAATTTGTTCCATGGAGTTCAGCCTTAATGCTTCTGGGCCCTTTTTCACTAAGCAATAACAGCGGCTAAAGTTAGCCGCTGTACCTAGGAGAGGGATTTTGAAATCGTGTGACTGGCTCGGTAAGGATGCGGGGAAACATGGCGGTGCCCCGGTGAGTGAGTGCAACTCGCTTTAAAACTGATATGTCGTTGTAGCTGCAATATTGGGCGAGTTAGTCAGCAATGAATGGTGCAGGAGGCTTTCGCTTTGCCTTACCTCACTTAAATCACAAAGCATGAGCAATGACCTCGCCGCATTTTTTAGATAGTCTCGATTCTGGCCATTCCTAAGCCTAAATGAATGCAATAATTGTCGGCATGGCAACGTCTTTGGAACTTGGATTGCTTTGACTCAATCGGCAAGGTATTGATAGCACACAAAAGCAGACAGCGTCCCAATGTACCTTTTTCTAAATTTCCCAAGCACCGAGATGCTTGGTTGTCCCTACGAAGCTGACCAGGAGGTATGAAAGTCCCTAGGTGCATACCTTCGTACTGCTCGTGTGGCTCGCGTGCCATTGCGCACGTGCCGCAGCTCGGATAGCGAAGAAACTGATAGCGTAGCTCCCATTATCAATTGGTAGTGCAGGTCACTTCCTCGGTTTTTAGTTCGTGCAGCCACCGCCTGGTGCCGTCAGTATGTGGAAAAGGGCAATTACAGGAATCGCATATAGACCAACTCATGTTTATAAACAAACCAGAGCACCCCTAGCGGACGCCAACGGTGCTGCGCATGCACGATGGAGTGCGGGCACGAAGCTCGCTATTGCCCATAAACAAACCATTGGAATGTGATGTTGTCAGCGTCGGTGTGAGTCCGCATGCTCGTTTTCGCGTTGGAATTGTTGATTTTACGTCTTCCTGGCAATGTCCGACTACTTTAGTGGCCTCTGTGAAATTAACGGGGCTTGTTACACTGCAAAACCTCGCGTGAATAATCTGACATCCACAATTCATTCCGCGTGGACACTAAAGCCTGATTCACATGAGATTCTGCTTGCTATTTTCAGTCACGACATCGCTTGGGCTACAATAATGTGAATCGTAGCTGATATGGTTGACGTCGGTACTGAAAACCGCAAGCAGAATCTAACTAAGTGAATTGGGCATAACAATTGTCAGTGATGGCCAGTGGTAACAATTATCAACATCTCCTTGTATGTCCACACCGAGCCTAGTTACCGCTACAAACCTTCAAACTTAAGCCTTTTGAGGCCTGCACTTGCTTACTGCAATTTCCGGGTCAATGTACGGTCTACGGGACGCTGTCGTTTGAACGAGCAGACGACAGCAAGCAGAAAGTTTGAAAGAGCAGACAGTTCGAAAGATCAGGCGGCCTTTTGAACGAGCAGACTCACTGAACGTAATCCACAGGTGGTCTGCGCAACTTTGTGGTCTTCCTGCGTTCGTGTTTTAACAAAGCAAATAATGCTGACGACCACAAGTATCCGTGAATTCATACCAGAGTGCTTGCTGCGCAAGCAATCGTGGTCCGACGGCGTCTGGTTTTCCTTTTTCACCATCTCTGACGAACCATGCAGGCAGAAAACACAAAAACTGACCTTCAAAACTTTTCCAACTCTTCTGGTACAGCCCCGGTCATGGCGTTTTTACGAGAAGGCGGGTTTTTGTTTGGTTTCTTCCAAACAAACACAGCAATACTTGTACCGCATAGGGATTTCTGTTGACTTTCGCCCACAACTTCAGACCTGAAGTGTGCCCTACGCGCCACTACCGTGCCGTGACTTGACAGCAAAGTTTGTGTATACCCGTTTTCACCTCAAGAACTGCACTAAAAATGTTCGACTTTTTGTGGAGCATTCTAATTTTCCCCTTTGTGTGGCGAATTAGGATACTTAAATTTTTATTTAAGATCAGTTAGTTATATCATTAGGACGTACACATTTCCAATGCGAAATTCATTGTGTTTTATCTGACATCCAAATGTTGTATGTACTACTTTGCTCAGCAATCAATCATGCATAGAACTAGCCTTAGTCTTGACTTTAAAATGGGTATAGTAGACAATTAGTATACTGCTTCTTGGGTTTAAAATAGTGATGTCTTAAATATGTGCAACTGTACTATTTCGATTCTAGGTCACCCATCCTGAAAAGCCTTGGGCAAGGAGATGTGGTTTTCTGGGGTACGAGTCTATGAAGACGTCGGAGCACCTATTTCAGGATCTTTGCTGCGTGACTGCAACAGTGTTTACCGTCCTGCTCAACATGCTCCCTGAGCAACGGTACCGTTCGTCAGATGTGACCAAAGAGGACAGATTGGTCCTTTTTTTGATGAAATTGAAGTTGGGAATCAGCTTAACAGCACTGGGTGCCATCTTTGGCATAAGGAAGTCGACTGCATCGAGAGTCTTTAGGGTAACACTAGATTGCCTGAGTGTGAAGCTGGCGAACTGGGTGTTTGTGCCTCCTCGACAAACAATCAAGGACACACTCCCAGTGTGCTTTAAGGAGCAGTACCCGAAGTGTACATTCATTATTGATTGTACTGAGGTCCGTACGGAAACGCCTACAGATGCAGAAGCACAGCATTATCTTTACTCACATTATAAAGGGTGCTACACTTTGAAGTGGCTTGTGGCGATCCTGCCGAACGGAATGGTATCGTTTCTTTCAGGGGTCTACGGTGGAAGACATTCAGATTCTTTTATCACTCGTGATTCTGGATTTTTGACCCTCGTGGAGCCAGGCGATGTCGTCATGTGCGACAAAGGCTTTCCTGCCATAAAAACAACCGTGGCGGAAGAGGGAGCTATCCTCATGATGCCGCCATTCAATGTGGGAGGAGGGCAACTGTCTAAGCAAGACATGGAAGACACTTTAACTATTGCACAAGTGAGAGTCCATGTTGAAAGAGCTATCCAAAGGCTCAAGCTTCACAACGTTTTAACGAACCGTGTCCCACTTTCTTTGATCCCGCACATGGAGAAGGTGATGAAGGTGTGCGGCGGGCTAGTGAATATGCAGAGCCCAATCATTAGGACTTGAATGAATGTTGACTGTTTTGGGCTAGATCAGGGCAGTGTTTCAAAACTTTGTCTTAAAAACATGAAATAAAGTGGACTGTTATTGCTTTCAACATGTATTCAGTTTATTGGTATCACAGTACTTCTAGAGGGCCCCATAATATTATGCTTCCAACTCTCCCAGCAGGATCACCTGAGCTATGCTGGCACCGAGCCACCATTTGGTCAGTTTGTTCGTAGGCTACATGCTGGCATTATTCGTTTGTACAAAGAATGTTCCCCCTGGCAACAATACAAGCAGAGTTCTACGAGTGAGTGTTGAAAAACAGCAGGTTCCCGGAGGCATAGATTGTAGCTGAAGTGGGTAAAAAGGTCAAATCTAAGTGGTCTCGCAAAGTTCCTGGAGCAAGAAAGAAAAATAAAAAAATTCTAGCTTTGGAACAATCTTTGCAAGAAGGCTCATGTCTCTGTTCACGAAAATCTTCTTGGTCTGCTTGGGGCTCCAAACAAAAAAAACTGCTCGACTCAAGTTCAAAATGTAAAGTTGAAGCTGCAATTGCGTGTAGTAGCTGTGCGACTTTTTCACAACCAGCTTGCCAGCTTCACGATCCAGGAAGTCGACACAGATCTTCTTGGTAACCTTGTCAACAATGGGTGCAAACTCGCACCTTGCTGGACACTTGATCTCGACGACCAATGTGTGGCCCCGGTACCTCATCAGTCCGTCGGGGCTACAAGCGAGCCATGGTTGCTCTGGCAGTGCAACGAGTCCAGTCTGAAAAATAGATCAATTTGGTTTTGACTACCTTGCACTCGAATCAAGTAGAAGCGATAGACGACTGATCAATGCAAGTGCGCTGTAAAAGTGAAACGAAATAATTACGACCGCTCCTTCAACTTTGTTATAACGAGGTTTTACTGTAGTTTGTATTCAACTGTAGTGTTATACTCTTTTGTTTCAATTATTCAATAACAGCAATCACACAAACCCTCTAGAAATAGGAGGCCCTTCTTATTATTTTATAGGACAATTGCATGACATAATGTTAAAAAAGGCTCATTTCACACCAACTAAAACAGGATTCCAGTGGCCTGAACAAGTTTTTTTTTTTTTTTCCATTATGTGAAAATGTACATTAGGGGTAAGCAGCTCCTAAATCAATGCTGCTGTGTGTGTTCAGATCTATTGATTCTAGGCACCAGGTCTCTCATGTTTTTATTGCAGATATTTTTAATCTGACTTAATCTTTAATCTGGCTACACAAATTACAACTGATCTGCTTTTGCAGGTCATTATCCTGCGACGATTTGGCACAAAACGACCTGCAGGCATTTTGGTGTACTGACATCTTGGATGGAACACACTTGAGTAATAGTCAGCTTTAAAATTTGTCATTTGGCTGTACATCGGCCTATTCAACACAATGTGTCTGTCATGCACCGTTTGGTGCACTTGGTATGGCAGAGCCGGTCCGCTGGATCTTGATGTGTTGTGTCGTTATGAGAGGTGCCCGAGAGATAACATAAGTTTATATTTTTTGCTACACGTACCTCAAGGATCGGAGTTTGCAGTTTGTTCTCCAGCACCTTCCGAGCCCGGGGTTCATTTCGGAGACCTGCATGCAGTTAAAAAAAATGCAAAAACACTCAAAAGGAAAACTTGATGAGCAAAAAAAGAACAGGAGCGTAAAAAAAAAAAAAAAACGTTTGTGGCAGCTGGTGTTTGTCATGCCATGCATGTATTTGTGATTAATTCATTGTTTCGGCAGCAACTTCAAGCTTTAGATATTATGTAACTTAGAGACACCTTTGTCAATAAGACACCGAGCTTTAGTACCATATCGAGTTGCGGCAGTTGAAAAAGGTTTCTTGTTGGCCATCTGCCTTGCCAAGTCCTCGAATGGCTTGATCCTTGTGCGAACTGAGTGGGCGTTAGAGCTTGTGATCCTGAACTTCCGTTCTTCGTGCCATCTGTAATGAAAACGAGGAAAGAAATTGGTTTGACACAAAGTGACTATACCTAAATAAGTGTTCTTCACAGGAAGTTAGTATAAGTGCTAACATGCCACAGTTTGCATATGAAGGGATGAGGAAATTGTAAGCAGCCATGCTCATTTTCACCTCAAGAACCGTTGTAAGAAAGTCCTCATCCCCGTGGAGCACTACTAATTTTCCCTAGTATGTGGTGGATTGAGATACTTTTATGTGCATATAAGGTATGTTATTTGTTTTCTTAAAATATGTTTTTAAAACTTAGAAGCACAATGTTTTTTTTCCTCTGACGACCATATTTTGTATAAACTACTTCATGCTGCGTATGAACTATGCGCAAAATGCACTTTTTTCTTTAAGTGAAACTGGGTATAAGTATTCAAATACTATGCCTCTCCTCCATGCATGCTGGGCAGCAGTCGAGGTGTCAAATCAGGTTTTGTACAGTTAAGGCAAGTGTAATAACACATGAGATAACTACTGTGCTCGACATCTTTCAAGCATGAGGGTATATCGTCAATATCAAGGTGTTGCTTTTCTAGAACAAGGAATAAATGGTTTTCATTAAATTTGAAAGTATATTAGTGAGGATACAGATTTTATATTAAAAATTCTCTTTTCTTCAAAAGGTATGAAATAAACATGCACTCCAACTTGCCTAACATTTTTTGACTGGCCACGGGTGGTCATTGCGATGTTAACCACATCATCAGCCAGGACCACTTCGGTGTTGTAAACACTCTTTGCCTCGCACGTGAGGTGCTTCATGAAGTCCTTAGTAACTTGGTATGTTCTCTGTGTTTTAGTGTCAATCACAATGTGAGTAAAATGGAAGAGTGTCCTGCCGACACCCATGCCTTCAAGAAGGCTGGCAAGATCCTCCTTTTCTATCAAGTCGGAGACTCTCGACAAGACGTTGTCCAGCACTGACTTGGCCTCCCGCTCAACCTCTGTTGTTTCCATGGCTCTTAAGATGCTGCTGAGGGGACAATTTACTTGTGGATAGCACGCCATGACGGTGGCAGGTGACTCCGGGGTTGTGTTCTTGTGACACATGAGGGGCCCGGCTGAAAGAGAAAATTTCATTGAGGTGCCGTGGTAGCTGCAAAGAAATTGTCACTGGTAGCTGTTACATATTGTATTTCTTTTATATTCAAAGCGTGTAGTTAATATACATGAAGTGTTATAATTTTTCAACTAATCCTAGACAATAAAAACAGGACACTAGAACATTTCTGAATCACGTAAGTGAATAATTGGTAGTTTTTAAATAAAATTAACATATAAAACATCTTTTTTTCTTTTTTAAAGGGAAAGAAGTAACCCATATCCTTGTGACATGAGTTCTATAAGTCTCTCCAACCCCCTGGACAGCAAAAAATGGGATTTTATGCAAGAACCTATATGTATAGTTACCTGCTTCATAGTTGAAATTACGATCCTTGTGCCACTTTCACAAAAATGTGACATTGCTGCCGCAAATATAAGTATATCGGCGCTTCCTCGTTTTACTAATGAAGGCACGAGGGGGTTGTCGCATGTAGAATCAAGATTGAAGGGTATCTCTTCACGTGCGCGAATTGTTCATGTGTGTCGCGGCGCTCGGTGCACGTTTTCGCTTCTGTGATTCAACCTGTTCAGAATACCTGGGAATAGATCAGAGATGGTCTTCTTCACGTCCCGCTTGGGTTTTTTTGATGGCTTGCCCCACTGCTGCGGTCTGCCCGTACACGTCTCGTCTGTGGCCTCGTTCAGAAATGCGCAAACAGCCGCGGCGTGTTTACAACAGCCGGTAACACCGGCTTTGCACGAGCACCTGCCGGAGTTCACGCTGCGTGAGCGGCTGCAGAGCTGTACGCGAAAAGAGAATTTAGTAACCTCAGTCTAAGTTAACTCAGACTACATTGGCCAGCAGCGAGCAAAACTAGTTACCTTGAGGCGAACGTCGTAGACTACATTGTCTTGCACCTGAGAGACGCACTTGGCGTTCAATAAATGTTCGTCCTCGCCGATCACTTCCTCCACCGCGAACACATGGCGCACAAGTAATCTTCCCTTTCTGAGGTTCGCCTCCCTAAAAAACTGCTCAAGGTTCTCTACGGGAAGAAAGCCGCAGTAGAATTTTAGCACGTTCGCCGCCATTGCAACCGGACTTGTACTGCTACCGAGGGCGAATTTGCGCCACGGCGCGGCGCCACTGGTATCGCTCCAGCGCGCCCCCTGGCCCAGCCGAACGATCGCATGCTTATCAGCGTGTAGCTCGCGCGCCGCTGTTGGTCACGTGACAGGGGTGACAAGAGAGGAGGGAGGGGGCGAGGTCAAGGCGCTGGGACCACCGGGACGGCCCCTCTCCCTCTCCCCAGGCATTCCAGGGAGATGCGTTTTTGTAATCCCGAAGAACAAACGCGCGCGCGCGCGCGTGCTCGAACTTTGGAAATGGCGGCGGGGCGGCCAGAAGCTCGGCTTGCGCCCGAGCGAAGAAAGTACTCAGCGCATGCTCGTAGTTTGAGTGCTGCAACGGCGGGCCTGCTCTCGCAATGCTCGATGTTCTTGCAGCCGCGTGTACGCGTGCTACCTTCGCTGCGTCTTGAATTGAAGTGAAACGGAGTCTAGACGTACATTCTTTCACGCGGTCGCGTCTTCTGCGAGAGAGATTCGAGCTGAATAAGTAAATTGAGGCAACAAAGATGGACAAAGTTTTAAAGCTCTGTCAAAAATATCGGCTCACCAACGTCGTGCGTTTACGTAAAACAAAAAAAAAAGGTGTTAGTTTTAGTTGCAGTGTAATCGAAAATCAGCGCAATTGAAATATAAATATAAATACTCGCATTACGCGGACGATCTGAAATCGATGAACCGGCGCTCCCAGCCTTCCGGAAAACATTGGCTGCCACGGCTGAAACGCTAGGCGTGCCCACGCCGCCGATCTGTACATTCAATATCAAACGGGCTCCGGAGAGCCGTTTGATTCAACCGGTGCAGTTTGCAACATGGTCGCCGGTTTGAGCAAACGTGCGACAACTTTGCCCA